CCTTCCTCGTGCCCAGGCCGGGGCTCGCGGGGCCGGCGGGCGCGGCGGAGGGCTGGCACGCAGCGCTTGGATCGTTGCGGCTTTCGGAGATGCTAAAAATAATTACGTAAACAAATTCCTTCCCTGTGTAAGTAATGAGTGACGAGCGTAAAGTCAGAAATCGCTCCCGCCAGCACATTTTCTTCTCCTTTATCGGCATAATCTGTTTACTGCTAAATGCAGGAGGTGGCTATAGACGTGCCTGTTTCACTTTCTGGCTCCTGCGAACCAGCACAAATGTTGCAAGCTTGGAGCTGCGAAGGCGGCAGACGCAGAAGCCCCAGCCATCAAACACACACGCAACTGTTTTCCCTGCCTCTCCGCGGGGTTTGGTAACAAAAGCCCACACTGCAGGCGCTGCCTCCCGACAGGCTCCTTTTCAAACCCGCCCGCAGCCCGCCTGCCTTTGAAGTGGACGCCAAGATTTCTTTTCCCCGCGAGCGGTGCGGCCGTTGTACCTGTCGAGGGTACGGTCGGTGGGGACCCCTGTGCCTCGCCCTCTCCCCGGTCCCCAGCCAGGGCACCGGGGCTGGTTTGAGGTCCCCGGGGCCGCGGGGTGTGTGGGTGATGTCCCGGCAGCACCGGGGTGCCGATGGCAAGGGCAGGATGTGCTGGGCTGGAAGTACCCCGGGCTGCCAGTGGGCAGAAGACGTGCCCCACCGAGCCGCTCCTGGCTTTGGGGTCTGCTCCTTTTTTTTTCAAAGGAAGGACTGAGGAGGATCCCTGGTGTCACGGCAGCCTGGCCGGTGGGTCAGAGCCGGCCTGAGCCACGCCGGCCGTGCCTCAACGCACGCGGGCTCCGTGCCCGTCCTGCTCCCGCCGTGTGCCCGGCGCTGGGGTGGAGGGGGGTGCCGGGGCCACACACTTTGCACCGGGCTGCCCTGCACCCTGCGGGGTAAGAGGGGGGTGTGTGCTCGGGGTGTCAGCGTGGCTGCGGGTGCGAGGAGCCAAGTGTGGAGCTGGGGCTTTGCCGCTGGGAACAGAAGGTCCTTTAGTCCCTGGGTGGGAGTTTTATTCCCAGCCTGAGGCTGGTGGAGAGAGAGGAGGGGCTCCTTCCCTACCCTCGCTGGCTTTGGGGTCCATAGGAGGCTGCCGTTACTCCCTCCCAATCCAAAGCAGCTCTGCATATTTGGAAGAAAATCGAGCTTGGAACCGGATCAGCTTGTCAATGTTCCAGCGCCTCTTAGCTACCGAGGGCTTAACTTTCAGCGAAGTTTCCATGAGCGCAGGAAGCCCCGACAGGCAGCCGGGCAGGAGCTCTTGCGCGAAGGAAATTCTGCTTCTCCCAGCCGAGGAGGTTGTTGCTGGAGGGTCGGGCTGGCGAAGTGCTCGAGCCCCGGGGGTGCTCACAGCGTGTCTTCCCTCTGCCGAGCCCGCGGAGGGTTGGCCGTGCCCCTTGGAAGCGTCGCCCCGTGGCTGCGGAGGATGGTGCGGAGCTCCCCGGCAGCCCGGCGCTGGGCAAGCCGCGTCCCGCGTCGCCTCACAGGTCAGTCCTGCTGCAACCGCTGGAACCCCCCGGCCTCGCTGGCCCCGTCTACGCGGTCAGCAAAGATTTTGTGTCGGGGGGAGTCTGGGCACACGCGTGACCGCGACGGGGCCTGTGGTCAAAGTGGGGACCCTGCCCGTGAGCGCGGGGGGTTGGCAGCGGGCGGGCGGCCACAGGGGCTCGGGGATCTTTGCTAACGCGGTCTAACGACCTACCCGGAAATCTCCGAGGCTCAGCGAAGCCTCTCTGAATGATGTCACTCTGCAGCCTTTTCAAAATATCGTGGAGGTACAAAGCATTGTTTTAATGGAGGATGAAGAGTGATTGGTTTTATGTCCTATTTAAAAAAAAAAATAAATCAGGTCTGATGAGTAGAAAGGCCACTAAAACCAGCTTGGAAGGCAAAATGCATTTCTTACATAAAAATGTACAATTCTCAGTGACGTTTGTATCACTTCTACACAAAATGGTTTCAGAAGAAAAGAAAGGCAATCTGTAATGGTTGTGAGTGTTGCTATTTTAGAATTTATTTCCATAAGTGATTTTTTTCTTAAAGATGTTTAATAGTAATTCATATAATAAAGTCCTGTTGTACTCTTGACACTGGGGTGTATTTTGCTTTTTTTCACCCATTTCTGGACAGGGGGACAAATTAAAAAAACGGGGTTGGGGAGGGAGATGCTTCTTCCCTTTGTGCCCATCGTAGCTGCGTCCCTCACGGCTGCAGAAGCCGCCGCGGCTCGATGCCTCCCTGCTCCTGACGATGCTGAATTTGCATCCGAGGATTTTCTCGGGAAAAGCAAGCGCGGTGCGGGGCCCGTCGCTGGTGAGCTGCCGGCTCCATCCGGGAGCAATTCCCGCTTCCACGCGGCAGGATTTTGGTTCAGGAGCAGGTCCCTGCCGGTGCCGGTTGTAGCAGAGAGTGAGAAGAGTGGCGGGAGCTGAGGATTCGGGGACAGCCCTGGCACAGCCGAGGATGCTCTTCACCTCGAAGCACCAGCACACCGGGTGCGTGGGGCACCCACCGCTCCCCGCTGCCGACCCCACGCCGGGGCCCAACGCAAAGGGGGCTCTGCTGGGGTCAGAGGCTGCGAGCGTGGGGCCCTGTGTGAGCTCCCCCCACGCCCGTGAGGACCTGCCTTTCAGGAAAGAGCGGAAAAGGAGAAATGCTGTGTCTTACCCTCTTCATTCCGAAAATAACAAGCCTCTGGGGGACGGGGCGTGTGAGATTTCTTTAAACTGTTTCATTAACTATCGCAGAGTAACTCCTCCGTGTCTGTCAAGTCTGGCTCCTTCACGTTGTCTCCTGGCGGAATGGAAATACGCTGTTGTTATGAATTATTTCTCAAATAGACGTTATTCCTCTCCAGCCCCACACAATTCCACACGGAGCTGGCCGGGTCTGCGAAGATGGAGAACGTGGAGCTGGACGGCATTGGTGGAGCCGCTGCTGTAGGGGCTGGTCCCAGCAGCACTCCCGTAGGGAATTGCCTTCTTGGCGCTGGGCTTGGCTTCCCCTTCCTTTCGTGTTCCCTGCAGCAGGCTGGAGGAGGAAAACTTTTGGTGAGAAACTCCTCAGAGGTTTAAAAATAGACCCAAAAATGAGGGGGAGGTCTGTGCTAGGTGTGAGGGAAGGGCAAGAGACTCTCAAACCCCATTTACAGGAGCTGGTCCAGGGTGTCCCCAGCCAGCACCCAAACCCTCAGTCTCCAACCCTTCATTTTGGGGAAGAATAGGACATTTGGCCTGTCCAGACTGTGCTGCCCTTGAGAAATAACCCCCCGGGGGCAGCCTTAGCAAGGCGGTGTCTGGCTGGAGGGGCTGTGAATCCGGGGACTGCTCCAAACCTCCGCGTTCCCTGGCCAGGGGCAGCCCAAGACACGCAGGAGGAGGGTTATTTCCTGGCAGCGGGGCAGGTGGGCAGCCCCGGGGGGAGGGGGGCATGTGGAGAATCCCCCTCACTTGTGGGGATGGGGCCGTGCGCCCGCAGGGGACGCAGCCGGAGTCTGCTTGCCCCGCGCCAGCTGTCCGGGAGCAGCTTTAGGCTGCTGGCAGGATTAGAGCTTCCCAGCCTCACGTGTGGCTTGGAAAGCTTCCCTGTGAAAGAAGATGCTGGAAAAAGTCAAGGCATTCTTGCCTTAAATGTCAAAAGCATCGAAATGCTGGAGAAACCCTGGCTGTCGCCTTCCTGCGGAGGCCAAGCAAGCTGTCGCGAGCCCGCGGGGGAGCCAGGGCTTTTTCAAAGAGCTGAAAAGACCCGGGCCTGCCCAGTCCTTTGAGCAGCTCAGATGCAGCCCTGGAGCGGTCCCAGCAACTCCCTTTTGAATTCTTTTGCTCTGTGAGGACAAGGGTTTTTCTTTCAAAACCGTGTTTTAAGAAAACCAGCAGCTGAGAAAAGCCCAGGACTGAAAACTGTGCTCAGATGAACGATGAATGCTAGAGGTGTTCTAGACTGGCATCGAGTACCTGCTGGCTGTCAGTCTGCGGTGGAAATTTACTGCCCCCTTCCTTCCCAAGGCTGGAAGATGGAAGGACAGAGATATTTTTATTCTCCTCAGCTCATTCCCAAGCTAAGGGCTGCACCTAGTGACCAGGCACTGCTCGCTGCCACGCACTTCCCCCAGGTCAGGTTGTTGGAAATGCTGACCGGCTGTTACAAGGGCAAATAGTCTGGGTGTAGCGGCTGGGTTTTATAAATCAAGGTAAATAATCCAGACTGGGGCTGCGTGCTGGGCAGCCAGGCACCGTCTGCTGCCACCTCCTGGGCCCAGCAAACAGTGCTGGGGCTGCCCAGGGCAGGATCAGGCCACGGTGCAACCCCCAGACAGGGCTTGTGCAAACCACAGCGGCAAATCCCACCGCTCGCTCTCTCTGGGTGAGAACCAACACCAGAAGGCGACCGGGGTCAGACTGATTCTCTTCACACGGTGATGGGTTGCAGGCCAATGTCACCACCAGTCTCCAGGCTCCTTGGCTGCCGTGGGGACGTAGCGGTGCTCAGCTTAGGGGACAGCAAATACGGCAGGTGTAAAGTGCTGCGGGTGGAGGAGATGAGCCCCAGCCTCTGGGGACGTCATTCCTGCCGGATGGAGAGAAATGACTCCACGGAGGAGGAGCGGGCACAGCACGCCAACGGCAATGCCCGTTGTGTCCCCTCCTGGTGGGACCGGCCAGCGTGGGGGACAGCAGGACATGTCCCTCGGCCGGACAGCTGTCCTCCCCCACCACCCGCAGCAGCCACCCGAGGCCGGCAACTGGGCAGCCCCGACGGCTCCCTCGAGAAACGGGGGACAGCGGCCAGGCCGCCCTGCCGGGGCCCGCAGCGTTCGCCCAG